TGAACCCTTTCTAGGATTCTGGGAGTGGCTTTAGCACTTTTGTATTAATAATTTGATTTATTTTTTTCTTAAGGAGAGCTCTCCAAATTGCATAAGCTTTAAGGTTCACAAAATTTGGCTCTGGTCCTGAATGATTCAGAGCCTCCCAGAGATCTTGGGACTCCAGCGGCTTGAAGAGTTCTCCTGAGAAGCACCACCAGCTTTGGGGTTCGAGTTAGAAATCTTCAGTGGAGCCTCTGACTTTCTCTCGCCCTGCCAGTCCAACAGATGTAGAAGCTCTAACTCCAAAAGCCACTAAGAACTGAGTGGTGTTTTTTTTATGACCAAACCAGTCAGTGACTGCTGTCAACGATTAGATTATGATTCTTCTTTCGTTCCACTTAATCTCCAGTATAATAAATAACATTTCTTCACACTAGAAATAAGAGGAAAACCGTTATTTAACATCACATGGAAAAAGCTTTAGAGTAAGCTCCATCTTGATCAACACTGGATACTCATAATGTAGCCCTTTGTCTAGCACACTGTGTGCTGAGTAAATGTGTGCTAATGAGCGAGTGTGTGAATTGGTGAGACAAGGAATGGATGGCTTGGTGTTTGTATCTAAGTTGGTCTCTAGTTATGATTATTATAACAATATAGATCATGCTTGTTCTAAATGATTCTCTCTAGATTTATTTAGCACAGTATCAAGAACTCCCAGCTGCTCAACTGCTTTTTTTGGATGAAAATAAGTAGATTCGGGAGCCATTCCAGCACAAATTCTAGGAAATTCCAGGATGCATCTGTAATTATGTTAGGGTCTTCCAGAGGTTGGAGGCCACACCTGTTAGTTATGAATTATTTTCCAAGGGTGAATATATGCATATATATATATAAAGGGCTTGGCTACTGGATCAGAGTTTAAGGAGTTCAAGCTCTCTCTGTTTTTCCTGCAACCCAATTCTGCATAAATAGCAATGATAATTACTTTCTTGGGTAGGAAAGTCAATGGCCAGGCCTCACCAGAATAAATCAGGCTTATAATTTAATTTTATGACTACAATCTTTAAAATTAAGAAGTAATTTAATCACACTTAGAATTAGACCAGCATTTTAAAATTTTTAATTATTTTTAGGCCATTTTTTTAAAAAGCATCTACATATATATAACATTACTGTATGCTCTAATTGAAGTTAAACTAAAATAGGACTCAACATTTCGGAGTTTGTAATTGTAAAACTATTGATAAATTACATGGAAAAGTAAAAAATTCCATATTTTTATATTTTTTTTACCTAAGAATGAATTTAATTCATATTTTTCATGGCTGGAGTAAGAAAGTAATAAAGCAGGATGATTTCATAATTATTGATAATATGTTGACACATAATTAAGTTTGGAAAATTGTGGTCTTTTGTTTGTTTTCTTTTAGTAAACATTTACCGTGTTCCACCTTTATGCTAGGTACTGTGCTAAACCAGTGGACATAAAATGAGTTACCCTTGACAGCTGCCCTCCTGAGGTGGAGCAGCCAGCCCCATACCCTAATTCCGGGGTGGGGGGTGGCTGTGGAACAGGTAAATGGTTTGGGGAAATAGGGAAGGGACAAAAAGGAGCTTCTGTGAGACACTGGAGTTACACAGGATAACGCCCTGTGCACAGCGCCTGCGTGAAGCTCTCCCCGAGGAGGAAACCGACTCTGGGCCGCTGAGTACCTCGCCACGGTAACTCGGTCAATACAGGGGAGCAGGAGAAACGCGTACCCACATTCGCCGGGACCCTGGAGGCAAAGACCAAACAGTTCCGTATCTCCGAGAGCTCCTGGGTACAAGTCAGGGTCCCTCCGGCACGCGTTTGGCATCAGCCGGGCCTCCTCCCAAGGCCACGTTGGCTTTGGGCCGGACAGCGTCGCCCGGGACCTGCCGCCCCTGGGCCCAGGGCTGCGTGGCTTCAGCTGTCACCAGGCGGCCCAGCTACTGGAGCAGAACGTGGGATGGGACTTATTCAGGTTTTGTTTTTTTTTTTTTAAACTACAATATTAAAAACACATTAACAGCTCATTATTTGTTCTGTTAAATGGGTGTAAACTCTGATAGTCACATGAATTCTCAGGGTTGGACTTCACCTCACCTGTGGGTTATAGATGAAATTATCCGTAACTTATCTTTCAGGAGTTAAGTTGCCAGATAGTCTTACGATTTTATCATTTCAGTTCTTAATTGCTGTATCAAATAGCTTCCGGTGCTTGATAACTGTTGAGTGAAAACAAGTGTTTGGGGAGAGGAGCGCAGCGTCATCTGGATGCTCCGTTCTCGGCTCCTAGGGCCGGCGTCAGGTGTCCCGGGGGTGCGGGGCACGAGGCC